TTTCTACCAATCTTGAGAAGAATTGTGATTTTTAATTTCTGAAAATGAGTTTCTCATTTTTCCTAACTGATTAATTTCACTTATCTACAAATCATGTTATTTCGTTAATTTTTTCGTTTATGTCATTATTTAACTAGTTATTAAACATGTAATGTATCGTTATATAATTTGTATAAGAGCAAGATTGTATCTATCTATGATACTCTCTATGATGATAGACATATCAATGATGATCTATATGATTTTATCTACAAATGTCGGGTCATTGATTGATTTAGCCAACATTTATCTTTTTAATAGCCAAAGTATACAAATATATTAAAGACCTGCACGGGCCGGGCTTACCCGGACCGGCCCAGAATTGGCTCGGCCGGACGGACTTTGGGCCGGGCCGGACCTTCAATTAGCACAAAAGTTACGGGTCAGAGCGGGCCGGACTTTTCTTAAATAAAATCCGGGTCGGGCCGGACTATTAATTGGACAAAAGTTACGGACCGGGCCGGGTCGGACTTTTTTTAAATAAAATCCGGTACCTACTACCTAGTATCTACTACTTACAACTTATTAATTTTTTTATTATTTTAAAGACAAACTTTTTAATTAGTTATGTTACAATTTGTTATTAAAAAGACTGAAAAGTACATTATGTGATATTTGATTTTTAAATTTTATATTAATTCTATAAAATGTTTTTTTATTATTAAATATGTTGTTAAAGACAAACAACTTTTTTTTGAAATTGTATTAAAAGTGATGTTTTAAATTAATAATATTTTAAAAGTTAGTTATAATATATTAGGTACTTAGTACTTACTACTTAATTTGTTATTCAAAAGACTGAATATTTTTTCATTTCTAACCGGGCTGGACTATCTAATAATTTTATCGGGCCGGGTCGAGCCGGGCTTTCTAAAAATGTTACCGGGCCGGATCGGGCTTGGGTTACTCGCCAAAAATATTTGCGGGCCGGGCCGGGCTTTCCAAAAATGTTACCGGGCTGGACCGGGCTGTAAAGTATCGGCCTGTGCAGACCTTTAAAATATATATAGTTATTCGTAGTATTTCTTAAGTTTTTTAATTTTAACACATTCATGTTTTTCTCACTTGAAGCAGATATAATAGGAATAGGTAAAAAGTTTATGAATCTATATATTGTGCATACTAATATAAAATAGTATTATCACCTATTTTCAGTCTTGTAAAAGATTTTCTAAGAAAATATTCAAATAAAGATACAGATACCTGTTTTTAAAAATATTTAAAATAAATATTTGCATAGATAATTTTAAACACTTGAAGAATTGTAATAACATAGTTAATCTTATAATCATTCAAAAAATGTAAAAGAATTTTAAAAATAAATTCATATTTTGCATATCTTGCAATAAATAAAATAGTTTGGAGATCCCATAAGCCATTAGTCAGAATAAAAATCTAATTGAAAAATAGAAATAAAACAAATTTCCAATTTTTTTATGAAACTGATATGAGTTATAATGTAGAATATTATAGCCATAATAGTGTAGAACGTTCTAGTATTAGGAATGAAATTATTTGAAATGTATATAATATACCACCTATAAATATTGATTTTATTTAAATAGCATTGATAAATGATTGAAAACCCTTATTAGTTTAAAATAAATATACAGTGAAATTGAAAAAAAATTGTATTTAAATTCTTTCACATTAAAATAATAAATTATCTTAACAGTAACAGTGAAACTTCTATAAAATGAACTTCTAATTAACAACATTTTTTGTTTAACGAATTATTTTTGAGAATTATGATCATCATTATTAATCAATAGGTAATTTAATTTAACGAATTTCTCTCTGTTACAAATTTTTTCTATACCCCTGAGACTTTGTTATGAAAGTTTTATTATAACAAGATGGTAAGTTTATTTATTATTTTAATATGAAAAAAATTGATTGTAAATATTGATACTTTGAGAAAGCATTTAAATTACATATTTAAATACTTTGATTGAAATACTTATACTTAATTTCTTTACAATACTGCATATTTTACAGTCTTATTGGATACCCTTGGAATAATCATGTGGTGCCACTGCATATAAAAAATAATAGTTTAAAATTATCCGTCATTATATTTATAAAAATAAATTGTATAAAATAATAATCATTTTTTGTAAATTGGGAAGGATATTAAACAATTTAAACATAATAATTTGTTATTACCTTCTTTGAGTAACTTTGTACGAATCCAAAAGCAGAATAATTAAAAAACTACACAAGATTCAAGTACCATCCAAATGGTTTAAATCAATTAATATCAAATATAGCTTCCTAAAAATAAAATTAATATATAGCTTACAATAATAAGTATGGTGTGGCAAATTATATTTTGGTCAATATTTCATAAAAATCAATCACAAAAAAATTGTATCAGAAATGAATTACTTATAACATTTTCAATTAACATGAAAAAAAACAAAATTAATTAAATCAAGGGCGTACCGAATGGGGGATTCAGGTCTGGACCTCCTCATTGAAATTTATACATACTCAACGGTTTAATAGTAAATAGTATAGTAATGGTATATAGTGTATTTTAATTTCCCATTATCTTCGATATACAAAGTTTATATATTATATAATATACCTATAATGTATAAACCATACTATAGTATATTAACAGTTATTTGTTGGTTATGAGTTGAACTATAATTATAATTAAAGAACAGATAAAATAAAAATGTTGGACCCCCCTCCTCATAAAAAATTCCTGGATATGCTCCTGGATTAAATGATATCCTTTTGTATTTTATAGTACCTATCATGGTTCAGTAAAAAAAGTTAAAATTATTTATTTGATTAGTTATTTCATTGATAAATCTTAAATAATAACACAATTAGTTTTATTTTATTTTAATTAAATCCAAATTATCAATTAATAATTATTAATAATTAGTTTACTAACAATTTTTGTTAAAACAAATAGTTAATATTTTTTACAATTATTTACTTTTTAAAATAGTACAAATTAACATTTCATATATTTTTCGTTTTATTTAATGTGAGTAATCAATTAAAAATTTAAGCACCTTCCATTCAAATTTGGCAATAAATTATTTAATAAAAATTATATTCTTGAATAACATTTTTCATTAAAATTGAAAATGATAAAATTCTTAAATTTGTAAATTTTTTTAGTTGTGTGTTGTATTTTAACTAACATCGAGACTGCTATTTACTGCGACAAGTGGAAAGGTATAATAGAATACTTAAAGAGTATGGAACAATTTTACTTGAACAAGGTGAAAAATACAACTTGTTAACTTAACATCTAGTTAAATAGACGGTTATTTTTTTAATTCAAATATGTTTTTGCAGTATTAATGAAAAATTAATGGAAAATATGAGTATTTATTTGAATTAATTTTTTTTTTTACATTTTTATAGCTATCATAAGTTATAGAAGATATATTTTAGTCAACGATTTACGTATTTACGAGTAGATATATAAAAAAGTAAGAATAGAATATAACTGGTACTTCAATTATTGTTTTATTTAATATACAATGACAAATGATAAAACGGCCAAGAAGTACAATTTATTATTAAAAATAAAACCGATAGATTTTAAACTTATTTTTAATGTAATTACTTGAATAAGTAAATCTAATTCTTAATTCTTTGAAAGGTACATATTGTAAGGTTTTATAACATTTATATCCTCTACAATGGATTTATTGTTTTAAGCCAATCATTATTTTAATTTCAATGTTTATGCACATTATGTTGCCATGTTACCATAGCTACATTAATGTTAATTATTATTACATAGCAATATGTAAATTAAATGTTTAAAATACAAATAAACATAAAAATATACACAGTTGTCGGTATTTTTATAATACACCAAAGAAAAAATGAAATATTTTTAAATTTTATAAGTATGACTTGCGGACCACTAGTCAATGATGACTAGCATTCCACGGACCATAAATTGAGAACTTCTGGTATAATGACTGCTAATTATTTCGTGCAATTTACAGAAATAACAAATTTAAGGTTCTTTATGCTGCAAGAGATAAACTAGTCCTAGCTATAAGAGAACTAGACGAATTGAAGCATGAAAATTCAGTAATGAAAAAATAATTAGAATTTGCTGATTTTAAAAATAAGAAAAAGGTGAATGAATTAAAAGTACCTACTCATTTGATACCACGTTACCGAATTCCTAGATATATGATATATATGGTATATATGATATATGATATCCTATGATTTAAAAATAATGTATTTTGTATATGTTATGAATGAATTACGATTTTATTCTATTAATAATTTTCAAAAATTATTTATTTTAAAAACAAATATAGTCAAGTACCAGTATGTTGAATAATAGTTTAAAATACTGGCTTGAAGTAGCTTGACTGTCATAATTATTCGTTGTAGCCCGTAAGTTTTTGCTACATTCCATTAAAGTTTTCCTTATCATTCATAGAAGCAGAAAATATTAGTTATAATTAAAGACCGGATTTATATGATTTTACATATCATACTTGGTCTATGGCAGTGGTTCCCAAACTTTTCCCATCGCGGCACATTATTAGTTTTTATAAGTCACGGCACACTTTAGATAAATATTATCTACTTATCGAATAATAGGTATATAATGATCGTTATTAGGTAATAATATTATTATCTCTCGATACCGTTTTCTCGATTACGTTCAAACCACACCATGACAAGCCTAAATTTTATTGAATTTTTGCGACGTTTGTTTTATAATAACTATGGATAAGTTTTTAAGTATAAAAAGAAAACTTAACGATTACGATGAAAATAATGGCGATAATAAAAAAAAAGAAAACGACAGTTACCGAAACCATCAAATCTGGTACACAATCTTCTAGTGCAAGCCGTAAGTACCATGATAATTATTTAAATTTTGGTTTCACTTTCTGTGGATCAGAAACTATTCCTATTCCTCAGTGTTTGGTATGTGGAGAAAAACTTAGAAACGAATGTATGGTAAATTAAAAAGGCATTTTACTACTAAACACGGACATTTGTTAAATAAAGACAAAACTTATTTTAGCCGCTTATTATCATCAAATGTAAAACAATCAAAACAATTGGAAAAACTTACAAATATATCCGATAAATCTCAAATTGCTAGTTATAAAGTTGCTGAATTAATAGTTAAAAAAATGCAGCCTCACACTATAGCTGAAAATTTAATATTACCAGCTTGCAAAGAAATTGTAAAATCCATGTTAGGTGATAGTGCTGAGAAGGAAGTTTCTCGTGTTCCATTATCAAATAACATAATATCTCGACGAATTGATGATATGTCTTCCGACATTCAAAAACATGTCTCTGAAATTTTATGTGATGACCGAAAATTTTCATTACAAATTGACGAATCGACCGATATTAGTCAAAAATGTCAATTATTAAGTTATATACGATTTATTAAAAACAATGAGGCTATTAAACAATTTTTATCTGGTACTGAATTATTAACAACATCGACCGGGCAAGATATATATAATTGTGTCAGTGATAATCTACAAAAAAATGAACTGTTATGGACAAATTGTATTTCCGTATGCACAGATGGAACTCCTGCAATGACTGACAAATTTAAAGGCTTTGTTTCGAAATTAAAACAAAATTTTCCAAATATTATTTCAACCCATTGTTTTATACATCGTGAAGCTTTGATGATTAAATCGATTCCAGGTGAGCTTAAAAATGTTCTTGATTTGGTAATTAAAATGGTAAATTATATTAAATCAAGAGATCTTAAAACACGAATTCTCAAAAAAATGTGTGAAGAAGCTGGTTCTCGTTATGAAGTTTTAGTTTTACATACTCAAATTCGATGGTTATCAAAAGGTAAGGTTTTAAACAGATTTTATGAAATTAAAAATGAATTGTTGCAATTATTCAATAATGAAGACCCAAACAGCGATTTCGTAACTTAATTAAATAATTATGGTCTGCAAAACTTGCTTATCTAGCTGATATTTTTAACCATTTAAATATCCTTAATTCCAATATGCAAGGTAAAGATGAAAACATATTAACATCGTATGATAAATTAAATGGGTTTTTACGGAAAATTAATCTTTGGATATCACACGTAGAAAAAAAACAACTGCAAATGTTTCCATTAACAGCAAATGTTGATCCAGATGGAGAAGTAACATCTGATTTGATAATAAATCATCTTATAATTTTAAAAGAAAAAATCTGTTGCTCCGTGACTGTTATCCGCAACACACGTATCAATTACACATGCACGTAGTTTCTTCTGTTTCTCAAGTCTTACCTAACCAAATTAACCGTGAATGGTTTCAAAAAAATCTGGATATTAGCCTGTGTACCCCACTACCGTCATCGTCACGGAACTTCAAACTCTCAAACACAAATCATTCAAAAATTGGTAATTATAATTGCTATTCTCATACGTCTATACGGTTTCTACGTAATTAATTGTCGTCCGCGCTCCACGGCGTTGCCGGTGGCAGCTATTATCTAATCTAACCCAAGTCGCGATAATGACAATATGCACAATGAACCGCAACAATAATATAAATACTACAAACACGAAAAGCAAAACCTTAAATAAAAATAAAACAAATTCCGTTTCGTCCAGTCGTATACAGAAAGCATCAAGTGATGTATTCGACAATTCTGACATGGATATAGACGCTACCGTTAACAACTCTAGAAAACCCGGTAGGAATCTTTCATCAACTGATGAACCTTCCGCAAATAAAATTGCTAAAACGACGCAAAAAAGTATATTTTCTACAACAAATAGATACTTCTGCCTTGCTACTGAGGACAACCTCGAGACAGCGCACCCACCTCAGACTTCATCATTCGAAGCATCAGACGTTACTAACGAACCTGTCAAACCCCCACCATCTCCACCACCAATTACAGTTCAAGGAGTACTTGATTTTGTTGCACTTCGCAATGATTTTATCAAACTACTTGGTGCAGATAATTTCTTATTTAAATCATCCTCAAATGATTTAAAAATTCTCACTAAGAATTCCGACTCTTACAGAGCTGTGATAAAATATCTAAATGAAAAAAAAGCCGAATATCACACCTATCAACAACGTGAGAACAAAGCTTTTCGTGTTGTTGTACGCAATATTCATTCCTCTACCCCATTAAATGAGATTGGAATCGAATCGCCATTCAAGAAATGGGCTTCACTGTGCGTCAAGTTGCTAATGTCCGTCACAAAATAACAAAAAAAAATCTGCCGCTCTTTTTTGTTGATCTTGAACCTGCCAAAATCAACAAAGATATATTTCATGTTACATCTATTCTCCACACCAAAATTCGAATCGAAGAACCGCATAAACGTCGGGAAATAATCCAATGCCATAACTGCTAGAAATATGGTCACTCCAAATCCTATTGTTCTCACCCACCTCGCTGCGTCCGCTGTGCTGAATTCCACACGTCTTCATCATGCACCATATCCATCGATCAACCACCAACATGTGCTCTTTGTGGAGGAAATCACCCTGCCAATTATTGTGGATGTATGGTCCATAAAGATTTACAAAAATTCAACAGTAGTACAAAAAAAAAAAAATATACACCCAAATAATTCTGTAAATAAGGGAGAAGTCTGTAATGATAAACACCCTTCAGACCTACCAAATTTTAATATTAACGACACTAAAGCGTTCCCAAATCTCTCTAAAAATAATTCGCGCAATTACTCTCAAAACCTTAAATCAAACCTAAACTCAAACTCAAATACAACCAATATCCCTCCAGAAAATGTAATTTAATTAGCAACTCAATTCTCCTCCTACTTATCAGAATTAAAACTAATAATTAATCCCCTAATTCAACTTCTTACGACTGTCATAAATAAATTAATTTTAACACGTTGAGTGCCAGTGTATTTATGATGCGCATATAGTAAGTTTCCGCGCCAAAACTGAGCCGCGACGCCGTCGGTCGACTACGTGTCGACACCGGTTCCGCGCGCCGTGCACCGTAAAATTGTTATTTAAATATTATAAAAAAAATTATTTTCTGTACGAATATATACTATATTATCAAGGTTATTTTTTTAAAAAGTAATCAATAATTTATTGCCACACTAATTAATTTTAAAATTTTAAAAAAAACAATCAATAAAATGTAATAAATACAAAATTTACATGAAAAACAAAATTATTTACGTATAATATTAGCTGTTAAAAAATAAACAGATTTTTAATTTTTGGAAAATAAAACGAATCATTAACATAATATTAAATTAATTATAATTATGTAAAAATATGAATGTAGAGTGTACCATAGTATGCGAACATAAATATAGGTACATTTATTGTTATTATACATCCGAGCAAGATACACTCTGTAGATTATTAAAATAAACTAATACTATTTCGTCAGAATATTATTAACAACGAAAATAATATGATATCAATATATTATCGGAAATAGCACAGCCGCGTAATCGGTATTGCCATCGCCGTCGTCATCATTCGGGAAAAATTAATTAAAACTCGCTAAAAATAGCTACGCAAAATCCAAATATACCATTGAAATCACGACATCCTACTGAATAACCACATAAAAATATTGAAACATTGCGTCTATAACCGATCAAATAATACACCCATAAAGATATACATAACATTTGTCGACTACGCGTCGACAGCGGTCCCTGAAACCGTGTGACAGTTGTCGACTACGTGTCGACCGTGGCATTGAACGTGTTAAATGATGATAAATAGACAAACAAATACTAACTCTCTCAATATATTTCTCTGGAATACGAACGGACTAAAAAGACACGAACCCGAGCTATTAAACTTATTTATTGAAAAACAGATAGACATCGCTTTAATCTCTGAAACCCACTGCACTACAAATTCTAAACATTTCTTTCCTGGTTATAATATATACAGATCTGACCATCCTGATGGAACTGCTCACGGCGGATCTGCTATTGTAATCTCTACCAAAATTAAATGCCAACCTCTCCCAAACCTTCAGACAAATACAATCCAAGCCGCAACAATTTTAATCACTCTAAATCATATTCCAACAACTATCTCCTCAGTTTACTGCCCTCCACGACCGGCAATATCTTCTCAAGAGATAGAACGATTTCTGAATTCCCTAGGTCGAACATTTCTTATTGGGGATGATTTTAATGCAAAACACCCTCAATGGGGTTGCCAAGCTCAAAACATAAGAGGTCGTATGTTTCAAAATATTTTACAAAACGTAAATTGTTTAGTACTATCCCCACCTGGCCCTACATATTGGCTAACACATCAAAACAGACATCCAGATATATTAGATTTTTTTATTTCTTCAATCCCCAGACACATGAATTATACAATTACAAATCTAGATGATCCAACATGCGACCATAGCCCGATTCTTATGCAAATAAGTGGTAAAACTACTCAAAATCCTCCTCATCCCTCTTTAGCCAAAGGACCTATCAACTGGGACCACTTCTCCAAACATTTAGAAAATCTCACAAATTTAAATATCTCACTTAAAACAAATGATCAAATAGAGGAGGCAGTCCAAAAGTTGACAACATCAATACAGACCGCTATTTTAAACTCATCACGTGCTATAAATATACCTTATAACTCAATAAACAACAACATTCTCCCCCCCCCTATATTCGTGAATTAATTTTAAAAAAGCGTAGGGCACGTTCACGTTGGCAACATTACAACCTGCCATCCGACAAACGAATATACAACAATTTATCTAATTCAGTCAAAAAAAAAAATACAAAAATACAAATCAGAATTTTTTCAGGAAAAATATCAATCTCTTACTATTCAAGACGGTTCTCTGTGGAAAGCCACGAAAAACCTGCTTAAAATTAAAGAAAAAATTCCTCCTTTAAATGATCCGAATGGTGTACTAGCGGTTTCAGATATTGATAAGGCCAATCTTTTTAGGAACCATCTCTCAAAAATATTCACTCCTCACCCTAATATAAATCCAGATCCTGAACAATTAAACACAATAAAAAACTTTTTAAACAGTCCACTACCTATGAATCTTCCAGCAAAGCACACCTCTCCGAATGAAGTTAAACAAATAATTAACAAACTAAAAATAGGAAAATCACCCGGATATGATTTAATTTCAAACAAAATGCTCAAACATATACCAAATTAAACAATAATTTTACTTACATTCATTTACTACTCCATGTTGAGACTATCTTACTTCCCTTTAATATGGAAGTTTTCCATTATTATTCTCATACACAAACCTCATAAACCAAAACATTTAACATCTTCTTACAGGCCAATCAGTCTTCTTCCTACTTTGGGAAAAATATTTGAAAAAATTATCTTGAAAAGAATGAGACCGATAATAAAATCACAGAATATAATACCTCACTCACAATTTTGGTTTCAGAACTAGTCATTCAACAATACACCAAATCCACCGTCTCACTGATAAAATAGCATTTTCTTTTGAAAACAAAAAATACTGCCCTAGAGTTTTCCTAGATGTCGCGCAGGCGTTTGACCGCGTGTGGCATGATGGTCTGCTTTATAAGTTAAAAAAATTCCTTCCAGCACCTTACTATTTGTTAATCCGTTCTTATCTTCAAAACCGAACTTTTTCAGTTAGGCAAGGCACCTCAACCTCTCTATATTTCCCAATATTTGCTGGAGTCAATTAATCTGATAGTTCATTGAAATTAAAACTTAAATGTTTCAATTTTGGAGTTTTATTAAAACTGAATATCCAATAATTACAGAAATTGCAATAAATATATTACTACCATTTTCTACAACATATCTCTGTGAACTTGGGTTTTCCGCACTAACAAATATTAAAAATAAGAAACGTGAACGACTTTTATCAGTTGAACAAGAAATGCGAGTGTGTTTATCGTCGATCCCTCCTAGAATTGAACTATTATGCAAACAACATCAAGCACACGTTTCACACTAAAATTTATAATTATATATTTTTTTTTGTAATTTTAAAGTTAATTTTTGTATTAATTATTTTTATTTGTATTATATATTTTAATATTTTGAAAAAAATATTTTATGTTTTTTTATAAAAAAAAGTTCAAGTTGTCGCGGCACACCTTTCAAATTTCACGGCACACTAGTGTGCCGCGGCACACCTTTTGGGAAACACTGGTCTATGCAGTTGAATGAGAGTAAAAAATGTAGATGATTCATTCAATTCTGAGTTTATAGAAAAAAGTTTTTTTTGCATATTTGAGAATATATCATAGGTTTGAGAATATTTAGC